CGCTCGTGCCCGCTCGCATGCCCCCGGCGGGTTGACGCGTAGAGCCCCTACGAGCTTGCTTGCATGCCCTCTGCGGGCGGCGCGTAGACCCCTTTCGGCCTCGCTCGCGTTCGCTCATATGCCCCTTGCGGGTTGGCTCGCAACCTCCCCGCGGGCTAGCTCGCGGACCCCCGCTTCCTCGCTCGTAGCCACTCACATGCCCCCTGCGGGCTGGCTCGTAGACCCCCGCTTCCTCGCTCGCGCTCGCTCGTATACCCCCTACGGGTTGGCTCGCGGACCCTTTGTGGACTTGCTTGCATGCCCCTGCGGGGCGGCTCATAAACCCCCGATTCCTCGCTCGAGCCCGCTTGCATGCCCCCTACGGGTTGGCTCGCGGACCCCCTGTGCGCCCGCTCGTATGCCCTCATGCGGGCTGGCTCGCGGACCCCCTGCGGGCTTGCTTGCATGCCCCTTGCGGGCTAGCTCGTAAACCCCTTGCTTCCTTGCTCACGCCCGCTCGCATGCCCCCTGCGGGCGGGCTCGCGGACCCCCTGTGGGTGGCACGCATGCCCCCTCCGCCCGGCTCGCGAGACCCCTGCGGCCTCGCTCGCGCCCGCTCGTATGCCATCCGTAGGCCGGCTCCCAATCCTCCCTGCGGGCTGGATCGCGGACCCCCGCTTCCTCGCTCGCACCGGCTCGCATGACGCCCTGTGGGCCGGCTCGTAGACGCCATGTGGACAATGGGCGCGGCGGCTCGCGGGACTCCCGCTCCCGTTGGGCGTCCTAGTGCGCCAAAGAAGGTTAGGAGCCGCACGCCGAGCGAGATGGGGATGGTTGCCGAGCTCGGTTTCGTCAAATTTACGCTTTTAGGCTTGAAAATTCATCGCTTTCAAACAAACACCCTCCTAATAATTCCAAAATGTTATTATTGTGCTCCCTCATATTTTTTGGATCGTTCAGACTTATTTTACGCATTTTTAATTTTTAAAAAATAAAAAAGCGTACTACACATCCTTGAAAAATTCTAAAAATTTTCAAGAAAATAGATTGGGTTTTTCCAAACTTGTGTACAAAATTTCAACTCAAAATTCAAAAAATTGAATTTTTTAGAGGGGATGACGAGTGGGACCTAGTAGTGTCTACCCCTGCCGAGCCGAAATTCTACATATTACTCTATAAGGGATAGCTACCTACTCGCCCATAGGCGCCGGCCATGGGTCCTAGTGCGGGAGCATTATGGGTGGTGTCTTGGCTATCATTCTTGGTGGGGTTGCTCATGTGCCGAGTCGGTGAATGTTTTCGTTTGCGGTGACCCCTCCGGCCACTTTCTCCGATGACCCTAGAATTTTTTCTATGCAACATTTTTATGGGTTTTTTTGTGTACTGTGCTTTTTCCAACTTGGTGGGCCGATAGGCTGTGGGTGTTTTATTTGCTTTCGGCAAGCACACGGTTGGTTTTTGTTGTTACAATAGCAAGTTAAGAAGGTGGTCGGGTTGAAGCTTGTCGGGATGTTGCGTCGGGCTTGGGAATTCCAACGAGAGATTTATGCAAGCGCTTGCGGGGCATTAAGTTGTTTTGCTTGTGTTGACGCATGGGCTCCCTTCGAAATCCTTGAGCCTTTATCGTGATGATATCTCTGCCGTCGAGGCTCGGCCATCGGATTTTCGAGCCAAGTGGCAAATGCGTTTATGCGAGTGGCTAGTTTGATGCCCCGGTCGGACGTAGTGACGAGCTTGGGGATTCCAAGGAGAGCTTTATGCTAGTGCTTGCATAGCATTACGTTGCTATGCTTGTGATGAAGCATGCGCTCTCCCGCAATCCCTCACCCTTAGTCGTGATCATTCCCCGACGACCAAGGCACAGGCATCGGCATTTCGCATCGAGTGTTAAAGGTGGGTGCGCGGTGGTTGCTCCGATGCCGGTCATGACATAGCGATGGGCTTGGGGATTCCAACGAGAGCTTTAGGCTAGCACTTCCATTGCATTGAGTTATTGTGCTTGCGCCAATGCTTGTGCTCTCCACGCAATCCCCAAGGCCTTCGTTGCGATCGTATCCTCATGGCCAAGGCCTATGCATTGGCATTTTGAGCCGAGTTGCAAAGGTGGGTGCGAAGTTGGCTCGTTTGACACTTGCTAGGACGTAGCGACCGGCTTCGGAATTCCAACAAGAGCTTTACGCTAGTGCTTGCATGGCATTGAGTTGCTTTGCTTATGTCGACACGTGCGCTCTCCGCGCAATGCCCAAGGCCTTCATTGTGATCGTAGCCCGACGACCAAGGCTCGGGCATCGGCGTTTTAGCGAGTGGCAAAGGTGGGCACGCAGGTGTCCAATCCGATGCCGGCCGGTTGGGACGTAGCGACGGGCTTGGGGATTCCAATGAGAGCTTAATGCAAGTGCTTGCACGGCATTAAGTTCCCGTGCTTGTGTTGGCATATGCGATCTCCTGTGCAATCCCTTGGCTCGTGTCGTGATCGTATCTCGACGGCCAAGGCTTAGGCTTCGGCATCCTAGCCATGGTAGGTGTCCCTTTTTTTAAATGTCTCTATCTCGTCCCTCCATCTTTACAGATCGTCCCTTTGAAATCTTTCACGTCTAGCGATGTAGGCTTTGATCTCGCTTAAGTGTTTCCATTTTGCTCTGTTGGGCCATGGTTCGGTCTTCGGGATCGATGTCTTGTGTACACGATGGCGCATGAGTGGTCATTGGGCCGTATGTGTTGGTAGGCTCTGTGCTGGTGCATTGAACTGTTGGGCCGCGGTCCTCGTCACATGTGGCCCAAGAGCCTGTAGGGCCTTCGCGGTGATGAGGGGTTCCTGTGTCGCGTACCCTTTATGGTGGAATTAGAATTTGACGCTGTCCCTCTCTGCTTTGTGCCTCCTCTAAGTGTGCTCGGTGGATCTTTGCTGCGGCGCTTGTGTTCCAATCGAGCGAACTTTTGTCGAATTGGCCCACCTACGACCGCTCGTGCTTTCGGACGTAGAATTTGTTGCTTGATCGTGCGGGGTTCTCCAGCCCTGCAATAGCCTCGTTCGAGTGATCTTTGCTCTATAAGAGTGACCTTTGTACTTGACTTATCCCCTCGTCTCTTTGACGTTGGGGATTATTCGAGTTGCGGTGTCGCAAAGGAATGCTACCTGGTTGATCCTGCCGGTAGTCATATGCTTGTCTCAAAGATTAAGCCATGCATGTGCAAGTATGAACTAATTCAGACTGTGAAACTGCGAATGGCTCATTAAATCGGTTATAGTTTGTTTGATGGTATTTGCTACTCGGATAACCATAGTAATTCTAGAGCTAATACGTGCAACAAACCTCGACTTCTAGAAGGGATGCATTTATTAGATAAAAGGTCGACGCGGGCTCGCCCGTTGCTACGATGATTCATGATAACTCGACGGATCGCATGGCCATCGTGCCGATGATGCATCATTTAAATTTCCGCCCTATCAACTTTCGATGGTAAGATAGAGGCCTACCATGGTTGTGACGGGTGAAGGAGAATTAGGTTCGATTCCGGAGAGGGAGCCTAAGAAACGACTACCACATCCAAGGAAGGTAGTAGGCACGCAAATTACCCAATCCCGACATGAGGAGGTAGTGACAATAAATAACAATACCGGGCTCTTCGAGTCCGGTAATTGGAATGAGTACAATCTAAATCCCTTAATGAGGATCCATTGGAGGGCAAGTCCGGTGCCAGCAGCCACGGTAATTCTAGCTCTAATAGCATATATTTAAGTTGTTACGGTTAAAAAGCTCGTAGTTAGACTTTGGGTTGGGTTGGTCGGTCCACCTCGGGTGTGCACCGATCGCCTCGTCCCTTCTACCGGTGATGCACTTCCGGCCTTAATTGGTCGGGTCATGCCTTCGGTGCTCGTTACTTTGAAGAAATTAGAGTGCTCAAAGCAAGCCTACGCTTTGGATATATTAGCATGTGATAACATCATAGGATTTTGATCCTATTGTGTTGGCATTCGGGATCGGAGTAATGATTAACGAGGGACAATCGGGGCATTCACATTTCATAGTTAGAGGTGAAATTCTTGGATTTATGAAAGAAGAACAACTATGAAAGCATTTGCCAAGGATGTTTTCATTAATCAAGAACGAAAGTTAGGGGCTTGAAGATGATTAGATACCATCCTAGTCTCAATCATAAACGATGCCAACCGGGGATTAGCGGATGTTGCTTCTAGGACTCCGCCAGAACCTTATGAGAAATCAAAGTTTTTGGGTTCGGGGGAGTATGGTCATAAGGCTGAAACTTAAAGGAATTGATGGAAGGGCACCACCGGGAGTGGATCCCGTGGCTTAATTTGACTCAACACGGGAAAACTTACCGGGTCCGGACATAGTAAGGATTGATAGATCGAGAGCTCTTTCTTTTGTTTTTTGATTTAAAGGTAAGTATATAAATCAAAGGAAACCAGCTGGAAAAATAACCAAGCAAGAGTAGCATTTATAGGATGTACAAAAGTTGGGAACGAGCTTCCAATGAAACAAAAAATGAGCTAGCCCTAGGTGGTTATTCAAGGAATCAAATAGTTGTAGAGATTCCGAGAAAAACCAAATAGGAACCAGTGACTGGCTAATCGGGACCATTTACATAGGCTCTCCAAGCATACAAAAAGTTTGTTGATTAAGCACTAAATGAAAACCAACAATTTACAGAGGTATCTCGCTAGCACGACAAAAATAACGGGGACCAGCAGAAGCGAAGCGGCAAGGCGAGTGAAGAGGCTATGAGCTGGAGGGCTCACCTATCCATAAAGCTAGACAAGGGAAGAGACTCGCATGAAAAAAGAGGGGAAACAAGAGCTAGTAGAAGTAGAAGCATCGGGCTAGGTAGAGAACCAATGAGGAGCGGGATGGAGGCGATAACTAAGCCATGAGTAGGTCAACACAAAGGAGCAACCGAAGCAGCTGCTCGGCGCAAGGCGAGAACATGAGGAAACGATGCACGGTCCGGGAGGGGAGATTAGCGCCACCAATAAATAAGGCCCGAACACGGTAGTAGACCTAGTCCGGTGAAGCCCAATCTAATGTGGACCGAGCAGCAAGTAGGCCATGAGGAGGCGGACACATCAAGTCGCCCAAGGCGGGGCCAACCGGAGGCAAAACAACGGAGGCATAGTACCCAAATTCAAAACAACCGGAGAGCCTAAGAACTCAACGACCGGACCAATGAAAATACCACCCATACCCAACCAAAACGAAGCCGGAGCTTAGGACGCTTAGCCCAACCGGACCGAAGCCGAGCCCACACAAACAAGCAAGTAGACTTACAACCGGACACCGAATGATATCTAAGCCACAAGCGGAAGCAACACCAATCAACTCTAACCAATCAGCAGCAGTAGCTAAGGAGCCGGCAACTATGAACCTCGGTAGGACGAGACCGGCCTAAACAAAGGCGTAACCCCCGAACGAACACGGCCCCGGAACAACAAACTCAAAATAGCACAGGGGCCTGGAAGAGCGATCGGACGACCCAAGAAGACTTGAACCTAGAGAACCAATCAGCGAGCACTCGACCGAAAGAACTCGTGCACTCATATAGGAGATCGGGGCTCACCCACAAACAAGAGGAGGGGTCCGAATCATGAAAGTAGAATATCATGTAGAAGATTATATGGAATTTACGAAGCACATTGTCTACCATGCTAGCTAAGGCATCAAAGGCATGCTCGTTTCTCTTTTCCCGGATGACATAAACCGTGATACCGAGGGCCACTCTCCTCATTTTTTCTTCAAGGTTGTTACGATGACAAGATAGGCCTCTAATCGCACTAGTGAGCGTATGCATACCTCTACGAATTCGGAGCCATTGCTTAATTTGCAACCACGGAGTTAGTCGTCCAAGGATAGGAGAAGAACAAATGGTTAAGTGACTCGAAAGTTTGGTCACAAAGAAGGCATATGTCACTGGTGGGTAGAAAACGGAGACGGTTCTTAGTTTTTAAGGCACCCCTAGCAGCAAGCCGGAGAATAAAGGAATGCCGAGGCATGGAGCATGACTCCCGGATCACCCTACCCCGAGCACACTTGGTGCCCCAACTGGCCTAAGCCGTGTATATGCAATATTAGAGAAGCTTCCCTCTCCCGAGTTCCACCTAGCAAGCTCACGTATAGTTGCATCTTTACTCTCATATTTCACAACAAGCAAGTTTTTCACATCGAGAAAAGCTTTCCACAACGGCGAAGCATTGTGATGAGCGAGTAGCATCCCACACTCGGCAGCCTTGCAAGTAGAAATGGTGGATCCAACGAATCCAAATAAAGTCGGCCTCGAGGTGTATGTCCCGAGCCTTTTAACCGGAAAAATTTGGTTTTTCACTTTGATATCAAAGACTCCGAGGCCACCTTCGATTTAGGGGAACATAGGCTCTTCCAAGCCACCAAAGCCGAAGAGCACCTATTGACATCTCCCATCCATAAAAAGTTCCGACACATACCGGTGATGCGTGCAATAACCACAGCAGGCATAGGAAAAATAGCGAGCCGGAATTGTATCATGCCGAAGAGGACGGATCCGAGGAGTTCCAGCCTACCCATATAGGATAGATGTTTTCCCATCCAGCTCTGGATCGTGGATTCAAGACTATGTAGCAAAGGGGCAAGCCGGCTAGCAAGCAAGCGATGAGGGCTTAGGGGGACCCCTAGGTATTTAAAGGGGAAAGAACCTTCACAAAACCCGGTTTCTTGAAGGATGGAGTCTTTCAAGTCGCTTCTAACCCCACCAAAGAAGATAGCTAGCTGGACGGAATCTTGATGGAGGTAACATCTCCAAAGCTAAGTAACAAGACATCATCCGCAAATGCTAGGTGGGTGATGGCATGGAACCCGCATTGAGGGTGGAAGCGAAAGTCGAATTCCTTGTATCAACTCGCAGTAAGCGAGAGAAGTATTCCATACGGACCACAAATAGGTAGGGAGAGAGGGGGTCACCTTTCCTAACACCTACTTTTCTCGAAAAGAACCCAAATAGGCCCCCGTTGACCAACATGGAGTAGGAAGCCGATTCAACACATGTCAAATCCAACCAACAAATATGTCCGGAAGCCTAATTGTAATAAAAGCCGTTTCAGAAACCCCACTGCATAGAGTCAAAGGCCTTACGGAAATCAATCTTCATTAGGCACCTCGGAGAAGATCGTTTCGACCATACATTTAAAGCAACTCTTGGACCAATCAGATATTGTCCGACATTTTTCGGCCCCCGTGTAAGCATTCTACATAGGATCGACTATATCTATCGAGCCAAGGATAGCGGGGGAAATGATCTTGGTAATCACCTTATAAATGACATTACAACAAGAGATTGGCCTATAGTCATTAGGCAAGGATGCATTGGCCATTTTTGGGACTAAAGCTACAACAGAGTGGCCAACTTGTTTGAGGAGCCGCCCAAATTCAAAAAACTCTTTAAACGCCGCATAAAATCTCGCCCAACAATTTCCCAAGCCTCGTTCAAAGAAGAAGGAGGAATACCCATCAAGGCCGAGTGCTTTATCATTGTCTATGCTTGAATAGTGTCTTTTGGATGAGATCCACTATGACCGAGGGGAGAAGCCATTCATGGCTGGCCGTTGGTAATCGAGGCCCACTAGCAACAATTTGTGAGTCAAATGGCATCGTAGCTTTGGTGGTACCTAAGAGGATGCTATAATAGGAAATAAACTCCTCTCCTACTTCGCAATAGAGGTAGTGAGTCGCCCATCTCCCCGTTGAAGTGCGAGCAATATAGTTGGCTTTGTGCTTCGATTCATAAGGCGATGAAAGAAACTAGTGCCTTTGTCGCAATCCTTAAGGAACTTGCACTTTAATTTCGACCAAAGAACATCTTTTCGGAGGCTTTGAGGTTAACCAAATGGAGCCGAGCATTTTTTCCATGTGAAAAAGCTCCAAATTATCTCTATCCGAGTGAAGCTTGACTCGTAGTGCGGCCAAATCGGATTCGATCCCGGCCACCCTTTGGGAGATATGGTCGAAATAGAGTGTGTTCAATTTCTTAAGAGGTTCCTTAAGAGATTTCAATTTGCGACAAAGCACATACATTAGGGTGCCACTAATTCTAGCTTCCCAACTATCGGCCACGGTTCTCGAAAAATCACCGTGGGCGGCCCACATATTGAAGAATTTGAAGCTACGAGTTTCGAAAGGAACACGGGAGCCCAAGTGTACCAGATCTTGGAGAATGATGCGAAAAAGCACCCGAAGGGCCAAAATGAACATGGGCGGGATGCCCGGAAGAAGACCAAAAGGGTTAGCTAGAACTCGTCGATTTTTGTCCAAACATCGGCCCCATGCCAAGTAAAATGGCTCCCCATATAATTAAGGTCCGTTAGCCCAAGATCGAGCAACAACTTCTAAAGTCCGCGGTTTCATAATTGGAGACAAGCAGTACCCTTATGCTTATCGGCCTATGATAGAATAGAATTAAAGTCCCCGGAATAATCCAAGGACGGTTCGACTGCCATTGACGAAGATCGACCCACAACCCTCTTCTAGCGAGTAGCGAGTGTAACCTGTTGACAAAAGTGACATTAAAAGACAAGCTGCCGTACAAGGTCGGTGACCCTAACATTAAGACCTTGAATAGAAACATTCAACATATTAATTGTTACGATGCTCGAATTCCAAAAAGCGCAATGCGGGCATTTCTCGCTACCGTAGCATTGGACATGAAGCTCCATTGCTTGAGTCTAAGCCGATGCATATTGACAAGCTTAGCATAACCGAGTTTTGTTTCAACGAAGGCACACACATCAACTTCTTTTTCTTCATGAGACCCATCGCCTCATGTTGTTTTAGAGGGCTATTAAGTCCTCCGATATTCCAGCTATAGATAATCATGAACGAGCGAAGAGGCCGAGCCTCTTCGACCCTCGCTTCGCCCTTTATTACCACTCTGTCGGCGACTCGCCTAGGTGAAGTGTCTTTTACCATCTACTCTTCTTGTCCGATCGGGGGTCCAAAGTGGTGTCCCCGAGGAAGTCTGGAACATTAAGGCATTCGAGCTTCCTTGTCGGAGACGACCCCTGTGATGGAAGGCCTAGACGTGCCACTATCTTGTCTATCGGGAGAGCCATTTCTACAAGTACCTCGATCCGTCCCGCCCTCGGCACGATGGCCATACTATCCGGCCCGGTCAACAATGTGGTCGCTTAGCCCACCCGTATCCCCGTTATTGCAACCTCCCAACCCGAGCCGAACCTCAATCCGCTCGGTGTTAGAAGGGGGCGCCGGACTCGTTACGGAATCAACCATAACATGTTTACCTTTATCGGTAGTTCGGCATGAGTGTGTTTTACGCTTCACCGTCACCCACTCGGTAGCTTCCGGTAGCATAGGATCGGGAGGTGAGCGGTCCGTGGCCGAGCACACCGTGGCGATTCACCCAGCCCGCTGGAAAACACTAGTTCGGCTCCGCCTCGCCGCAGCGTCACTGCCATTCGCTGGGTTCCTTACTAGAATTCGAGGGAGCTCGATTTTTGCATGCTGCTCGTGGAATGCCTAAGTATATGACAATTTTTGCAATGAATGGGTAGAGTCTTATAAACCACTGGCCGCAAGAGGGTGGTATTATTCGGTAATAGGATGCCGACCATCTAGGTGAGAGATTCCATAATATTCGGTTCAACAAGGACTCGAGCATAGGAAAGTCTCGTCCATGGAAGCGATTAAACGGTCACATTGGAGGGGTTTACCCGACAAAATAGCAATCTTCGACAAACACACAGTGGACCAACATTTGAGTGGCGAGATTGGGAAGCTTGACCTAAATAGGGACGGTAGTCATCTCGGAGGTGGAAAAATCAAAGTATTCCGACATTGGTCGTAAAATTAAAGCTCACCCATAAATCAAATACGGTCCTCTATCAAGCACCAAAACCTTATCTTCCTCTCGATTTTAATTTATAAATAAGCCGACTAGATTCATGTACTCGTTAAAGAAGCCTCACAATGCCAAGTATCCTTGATAATTCCATTGAGGGCTTTAAATCTTGGATACTTACCAACAACATATCCCACAAGGCATGATTTTCATAACTCACATTTGGTATCAATAGTTTGCAAAGTGCATTGTTTGGATTCGGTAATAGTTAAAAAATATGATAGTTTATGGCATAAGTCTAAGTTACGATTACTTACAAACAAATCTCGCCACTTGCACTGTCGGGGAAGGGAGTGACCTAGCCGCCTCGTCGTGGATTCATCGCAAGTCGTAGGCCCATGCACATTCGTTGCTAGAGCTAGTGACGGAGAAGGGGATGGCCCGACTTCGTAAGGAAATTGGGGTCAAGGCGTCGTAAAGGATGGCAATATAGTTGGGTGTCGGTAGCAATTTGGCAAATGTCGGCAGCTTCCCCCAAAACTAAAGGAGGAGAAGCGAGTTCTAGGGAGCGAGAGATAGGGACACGTGCTCGGCTTCCGAATTCGAATAATCCACCTCCTCCTCGCCGAGGTCCGCCTCATCCGAGCGAGTCTCCAACCACAACGGAATCGTGTCTAGAAGCAAGGTCATGGAACAAGAGACGAGTAGGGGTGGCGGG